CCTGACTCCGAATTGTGTGACGATAACGGTGTTGTGAAGAAGTCTGTAGTTGCAACTGGTAAGCCATTGTTGAATAGAGTGTCACAGAATAGAGTTACTGCTTCAGGGTGCAGTTTTGACTCCAAAAGTTTAAAAGGTATAACTAGTCAGAGTGAAGATATAAAACCTTTAATGATTTGTGAGAAGGAACCAAAATTGTCTACTTCTGTTATTAAAGAGTTTGAAAATGATGAACTTGACGGTAAATTGAATATTCGTGATAATGATCCTGACACTTCACAGTTGTCTTTGGTTGATCATTATGAGATGAGGGATATGCCTACTACTGCTAAGTTGAACAAAGTTTCTGTACAACTTGAACGTGAAGTAGAATTCAATGCAGATGCAGTTCCAGAAGGTGTGCATACTTGTGAGACAGTCAGTGTAATTGATCAGCGTGTAGCCCACCTATCATCAGATGATAGTGCTAAACCCGAACTAGTAGCGAAAGACAGCAGTGGTGGTGGTCTTGCAGGTAGACAAATTTCTGAAAGTCGAGCAACAACAGCTTTTGATCCACCGCTAACTTTATCAGCTGATATCAATCAGTCGTCGTTGGTGCTGTCATCCACAATGAAAAAGACGCCCATCAACTCAAGTATCTTGTCCAATGACTATGCTAGTATCAGTTCGTTTGAAGAGACGAAAGATATTGGTCAGTTTAGTGAGGATAAGCCAAGTGTAAACGAGAGAGTAATTGTTAAATTGACTTGCACGAATAAAGGCATTTCTAGTTTCAAGTTACTATTTGAATGCTATTATCTTTGGTGTAAATTACTCTGTTTCTATACTTGGTTGATGAGATATGTCGTGTGTTTGTTCGTCATCTATATTTCACGATACAATGACATGAGCGTGTTTCCGTTCAGATTTGAGGATATAGCTGATAGAAGGAAGTAAGAAAATGAAGTCCGCGACGATTTTCCAAACTAGAGTGTCAACCTGAGAAGGATTGTAGGCGTACTGCTGTAAGTCATACAATTCTTCAAAGGGTAGCGCATCAATGAGCAGTCCAATGTGCTCGGTGTGTGATTTTGTACATATGTTCATATTGTATATACTGAATTGATATCATCTGTCATCTAGCTGTTGGTAATTCTGTTTGTGTCCGGACGACTTCCACTTGGATCATCAACCTGAGAAGGGTTGTAGGCGTACTGCTGTAAGTCCTACAGTTCTTAAAGGGTAGCTTTTCATGCCGGAATCCACAACATTTGATGTAGTGATTGTACATATGTTTGTGTTAAATAGTTGTGTGAGTTCCAATTATTGTAATTGTTGGTCAATCTTGCTTATGTCCGGACATTCCACAACTTACAATCGTCAGCGTGAAAAGGGTTGCAGGCGTACTGGTGTAAGTCCTGCAATTCTTCAAAGGAATTCCATTAAGATGTGATCCGCGAGTTTGTGTGTACTGTTTGTATATGTGTGGTGTGTCATATCAACTGGTGGTGTTTGAGATTCATTGTGTTTACTCGTTGTTTTCGTACCTTGTTTTTATTGCACAATTTTGTTAAAATTTTCGTCGTGATTACTTCTGAAGTTGTGTCCACTCTTCTACATCCGTGAATGAATTGATTGATGTTAGGGATAGCAGATGGGTCGTATACACCGGGGAGGCCATTGCTGAGAATAAAATGCATACGGAGATAATTATTAGCTGTGGTCCGACACGCCGGGGAGAAAGAGTGTAAACGACTGAGGCTCGCATACGTCATCGTTACTAGAATTGAGGCAGAATGAGTGACAAGCGATTTCAGTGGTAATTGGTAGTGAGTAGATAAGAGGATGAGCGTAGAGTATCGTGAGGTACTGCCGTAGTCACGTTGTATTCTGCAAGAGTCATTCTAGCAAGTGGAGATTGTGTTGCAAGAGGATGCCTTTAACTGGAAGGCGCAGGTCGTCATCGATGTGTGAGATTATGCTGTGAGTATGCTTGTGGTGTGTTGGCTTTTCTGTTTGTTTTCCATTTCAGCTCTGTCCGTGTGACCCAGGTTCTCGCAATGGCATCCAAGTCAACGTGTATTGGTCGTGATGGAAAAAAGGGGTTGGATCCATTTTTGCCGGGGAGTGTCAATGGAGTTGAAGATTGAACGATCAATTCATGGTTGTTTGCTCAAAACCAACTTCCCCAATTTTCGCGGAGGCATCAATACGACAGTCATCGTCTCATCGGTCGCTGTTCAGAAAGAAGTCAGCAGTAAACCGTCAGAAGTAATATTGTGATTTATTATTGTAATATTTGTTCACAGACCTTAGTCATACGTGATTTATATGTTGGTGTAACAATAAAGAATCCTCGAGTCGCCAATTGGTGTTTTGGTTTTTTCGTCCGTTATTACTAAGCGTTTCTGAGAAACTTCAAGCGACAGCGTGAGCCCGAGCGTAGCAAGAGCTGGGCATTAACGGTTTACGAGACGTGGCTGACAACGCTCTGTCCCTTTTTTGACCCCGGGTATCACTGAAATTGACGAAAAAATCCAGAAAACTTCCGGATAACACTTGTCCAAAGACTTTCAGACACGAGGAAAGATGAACAGAAACTATCAGAAACTATTATCCAACTCTCATAAACTGTCAATGTCCAGCTCTTACTACGCTGGACCTCACGCTGACCTCAGAAACAATTTGTATTAGCCAACGCGAAAAACCACAACACAGATTGGCGACTCGAGAATCCTTTATTCTTACGCCAATATGTAACCAACAATAATGTTATTACACACAAGGCCTAAGAATAATTGTCACAACAATAAATCACGATGATACTTCTGATAGTTTTATCTCTTCCATCGAACAGCGAACGATGAGACGAAGAATGCTGGATTGATGACTCCCGCGAAAAATATGGAGGAGTTGGGTTTGAGCAAACAACCATGAATTGATCGTTCAATCTTCAACTACATTAACACCTGCCAAACTTCGAAGTACGTAGGGTGGACCGACCGACTGCGGTTGTCTTATATCACAATGTCGTCTCTTGTTTAGACAAAGGTGCTAAATATGTTCGTAGTGCTTTCTTAGACTACACATCTGCTTTTGACTCTGTACCTAGGGGCCTTTTGTTAAATAAGCTATCATTGGCACAAACAGGATCCTGGGCAAAGAGTTGGTTGCATTCCTATTTTTCTGATAGAATGCAGTATACTGCATATAACGGCAAATCTTCTTCTACCTCGCTTACAAAATCCGGTGTTCCACAAGGTGCTGTACTCTCTCCTTTTCTTTTTCCTTTCTTCCTTCATGACCTACCTCATTCAAACGAAACTAACTTTGTCAAATATGCAGATGATTTTTTGATTTGATTTGATTTTTGATTTACAGCTTGATTCCACACCGTATTTTCGGTACAAGTATGGAATTTTCAGCATGGATATCGGTAGCCCAAATTTTGCAGGCCGACCATAGATATCAGGTGTGCGCCGGCGTGGGCTCGAACCCCGGACCATGTGCATGGTCGGCGAGAGTCCTAACCACTGTGCCACCGACTGCCACTGACTGTATCACTCATTGCCTATCACTTCCGAGTCTGACAGCTCCAAACTTAATAGCTTTCTGTTGGACATCAACAACTGGTCCAAGTCAAATGGTCTTATATTAAATCCTTCCAAATGTCAGGCGCTTGACTTTACTTTCAAACATCGACGTGACTTACTTGAACTAGTTAACTCGCATGATCCCTGTAGCATAGATGGCACGGAAATTGAAACCAAATCAAGCATTAAATACCTTGGATTAGTCTTTTCCTCTGACCTTTCATGGTCATCCCATATCTTATCTATCTCTAAGAAAATGTTTCGTTTTACCTTCTACATTAAAAAGTTAAGACAATCAGGTATCAACCAACCTTTAGTTTTGCAATTTTTAAACTCCTGTATTTTACCTATTGTACTCTATTGCTCTCCATTAATCTTTCCTGGGCTTCTCAAAAAAGATTATATCATATTACGAAGAGTATTAAATGTTATGAGTAGAGCTTGTGGTCTGCCACTGCATGAGCTCGCTAATACTATAGTCGAGAGGCATATAAATTCCTGTACAAAATGGGCAAAGGCTATAATGTCAGACCCTCTGCACCCCATTTATTCACACCTGTCCGCTTGTATCTCATCAGGTAGGACGAGAAATCAATATAAAAAGATATATGCTCGTACTACTAAGTATAGAAATTCTACAATACCCTGTTTAGCGCGTACTTTATGTGACGAAGACTCTGTTAGACGTGAAACTTACAAGTTACTATCTAATTAGCACAGTGAATCGACACTTTCATTGTTCATCTTTCTGTATTTTATGGTGTCACACTTTCTATCGTTTAAATCGTTACTCTGCTATTTTATTTTTAGTTGGTATTACTATTATTACTACAATTTTGTACTTTATACATATTTTTCTCCGTATGGCACGCAGTATTTTGCTACGTAGCTGCTATAACAATCGTTTTATTACTATTATGTAATGTGTATTTTTAATTTTTTTTGTCTTTTTTGAGTAAATTAGATGCAATATTGTACTGAAATGCTGAAAATTCCTTGCTGTATCATGAGTACTGTTTTGGAATAAAGCTATTACTATTATTATTATTATTAAAAGGAGGTGGTGTAGTCATCTACATCAGTAAATGCTTAACGTGGGTAGCATCGAAACACTCGCTCACGAAAGTGGGTCGTTTCTTCCATTAGAGCCTCAGGAGTCAAATATAAAGAGGATGATGGAATCTGCCGAAGGTCCAGAACCGTTTCGAAAAACAAGATGTGCGTCCCAAGAAACCATGAGCTTTATAAAATATATCCGAAAAGATATACTGGTTTACAGTAGCTTGGAAAGACATAATCAACACTAAGTAGAACTCCTTTTGGAACTGCATTAATAACACGCAAAGAAACTGCAATTTACAATTTCGACCATGTGGTATTTAGCATGGATGTTGAACCCATCATATTGTTAATTGGACGTCAAGTGCGTTATTTCGAGTTATTGTGTGGGCGGGCGAGTTGAAGTTCTGTCAATTAGTGGTGCAGTTGAGGTTGAGTGTTCTTTGGGTCACTGGTCTGTTTAACTAGTTCAATTGCTCCTGCCTAAAATAATGAGATAAGTCACACTAAGTCTGAGGTACATCACGAGGCCTATCAACCTGTTATGCAGCGCTCTGATTGTTGCTTTGCGACACCACAATTCTCATCTGAAAACCAGCTTGTTTCTGATAATGTCACCTTTCACCGGAGAGTAAGCAAAAAAGGCAGCTCTGAAAATTCTAAGTCTGTTAATTTCTCTGATGTGACCATATATTCATTCGAGCGTCAACAAGGCTCTTCAACCATCCCTGATACAGGTTGGTGCACAATTGGCATGGCACAAAAACACTTCAGTGTATCTCGGTTAGATCTTCATCAACATAGACTACTTCAAAGGCTTCGTCGAAAACAACGAAGGTTGAATTCACTCAAGGACGGAACAGGAGTCAACCCCTCAAATCGTGGGCGTGGGAGAGGCAGAATACGGGGTCGAGCAAAGCGTGTAAATAACATCTCTTGTAGTCCTGGAGATTCATGTCGTGTGCCCAATTTTTCACCTCCTCCTCCACTCTCCCCCAAGTGAGCACTGACGATCCACTTTTCACGGAGACGTTAACAAACGCTGTTTATGCTACTCCACCGCCTCCATATTTATCCCCTCCTTCACCAAGAAGACTAGTTTACTGTTTGGATGATCCTTCACTATATACCAGTGTTTTTAATTCACTCGATCTGATGGATACTGATTCTGAAGCTTCCCTCGACCACGCTCCTCCACTTAATTCACCAGGACGCAAAAGAAGCAGTAGGGTGAAAATGATGCCGCTAAATTCTGCTGAAAGGATAAGGCTTTTAAGGTCATCAGGTATGTCTGACATTATCACGTCGTCCTACTATCTCTTTTCCGTCTTGTATTTCATAATATCTGTTAAAAGTGCTTTTGTGGGTAGCTGAATTGGGCTTACCCTATTCTGTCTTGTTTGAAAGTGATTTTCGCAACTCCGTCTGGCTTCTGAGCACTCAACAGCATATCAGGAGGGAAAGGTTTTCCAAAATTTAGAGCTAAATTTCAGTTGCAATTCTTTTTCAGGATAATCCAAGATGCGCAACTATGCATATTTAATCGATGCACCTACTGATTGAATAGGTGTGTCAGGAGTTCACGATAAGAGTGAGTACGATAGAGAAGAAAGGGGAAATCTTCAAATTCAGATTTATTGGTTGAGGATAGAAGGCTTTGAGTCTATTTTAATCCTTTTCTAGTAAATTTCTGTGGTTGTCCAAACCCTTCTTGAACATATCAGTTGAGGTTGCAGACACCACTTCTTTTGGGAGTCGGTTCCAAGAGTTTATGACTCGGTGTGAGAACCAGTACTTAACAGCAATATGATTTCTTCTTGTCCTTCGAACTCTCCTGTTATCTCCTCTAAGGTGTTCCGACCTGGTGGAAAGGAAAAGAGAGAATAGGTCAGGTCTGTAGTCATAATTTTAGAATTTTAAGCATTGTGATTAAATCTCTCTGCTTACGGTATGGCAGGGGGAAGAGATTTAAACTATCTAGTCTTTCCTCGTATGATAAGACAGTCATGCCGAGAGCCATACTTGTTGCCTTCCTTTGATCCCTTTCTAGAATGTGTGAGTCCCCTTTTAGACAATGAATGGCTGCCTGGATACAGTTTTCGAGTCTTGACCTCACCAGAGATGTATATAAGGAGGTGGACATATCTCTGGTAGTTCTAGTAAAGGCTCCGCGAATTGCCCACAAGGACCTGAAACTATGTGCAGCCACCGCGCGACAGTGTGCTGTAGTTTTTAAGTGGTTAACTATGACACCCAAGTCCAAGTGAGTCTGAACTGATGGAAGTGTTATTCCCTCCAGTTCGTTGGATAGTGAAGTGGATGATTGAATTCAAGCTACTGGGATCAGGTTGAAGTTTTTTTCTATGTAGACTGCGATGTTTGCAAGGGGAATTCAAACGTGGTTTACGACGCAAAAGGGTAGTTGGTGGTTTTTTTCGATTAACAGTATTTATTGTTCTCAACCATGCCTTATTATAGCTCATTCAGAAATATATTGGCTTACTTGACAAATTTGTTGACCGACGTTTTCCTCCCTTCACTTATCATTCCTTGTCTTACCAGTGTATTATTGCTACCCCACCATTCACATGTATTGCTATGTAGACCGAAAGTCGTGGTACTTAAATTATTTTGTTGTCTAACTTTAACGTTCATGACTCCAAACTGTGACAATGAAAATAACATCTCAGACCAGACTTATTTTTTGAAGTAGTGTTGGATACAGTAAGCTCAGACTTCATTTTTGTGTTTAGCTGTAGTTTATTGTTCTAGTCGCTCGAGTAGCAACCACTTGCTGTAGGTTTCAACCTCGTCTTTTTTAATGTAGTGTGAACAGATAATCACAAAAATGGCTGTGTCTCATTACCTAATGCATAGAAACGCAAGTCTTTAATGAGTAACATACACGTATGTAGTTTATTTCTCGAGGTTTTCTGAAATTTTTTTAAAGGGAACTTAAATATGTGTAAGAGGTTTCAGCCCCTATATCGGATGAGTTGATACGCCCGCATTCCATATAGTATAACTGATAAAAGCCTTCAGCCGTACTATAATGCTACTTGTTATTGATTTATTTTACCGTATACCGCTAAAGTAAAGTTTATTCATCTTTCAAGATGTACTTTAACTTCAGGTATCACAAAAATCGATGGATCGGAACGCCTCGTTTGTTCTTTTATACGGACAATGCGCTCTTGTGTTGGCTGTAATTGTGATCCAACAGATTCATGTAAACCCGGTCAGTGTTCATGTGCAGACGAAGGAATCCCTTGCCAGGTAACTTTTATATTTCTCATCAAATGTATCTTCATTAGAGTTTAAAGTGTAAAACGTATCTTGGCGTTTCAAATAAGCGAATGGCATTGTTAACAACCTGGTTTGTAACCGTTGATTAGATTACCAGATAAACAGGGGGGGGGAGGGACAAATAACAACGGGAAATAATTTAGAATCCCATCCGTAAAAAATATTTACTGAAAGCTGCATCAAGAGGTTTAGGACGTACAAGGAAATGAGACTAAATGCAGAAGAATTGTTTTAATTTTTGTTGACGAGCATCAGTAAAGAAAACGCAACTATTAACCCACATTATATGCTAATTATGTTTAGTTTTTCCTGTTGTTCTTAGACTGAGTTTTCAACGTAGGACTTTACACATATGCGCAGCACTTCAATTTGCCACACCATATCACATGAAGAGTCATGAGGATTTAATGAACCGGGGAGATTACAAATGGTGGACGCATCTTCATCACTGACCATGGTTTTTTGCCATATCTACAACAGTCTCCAGTCGATGGTTCTTAGCTTTTCGAGGACCTAGTCAGGTGGTCTACACCCCCTGCGTGGCTGGTCCGAATCAGCTATCAAGGACGTTTGAAACCAGTTTTATTGTTCTCACTTTCACTAGAAGAGTGAGAAATTTGTTGAAAAACTGGTCACAAAATAACAAGAAGTATTATTTGTCGTTCAGAGAGTTGGAAGTAAAAAAATGGGTATTCGTTACATCATATATATATATGGAATCTATGGCTTCATTTTTTTAAAATTTCTATACTCAGTTGTGTAACCTAGTGATTTTGACTGCTGAATGGTATTATTATTTCCTTTAGTTCGTAGAGGAAAACGGCTTCAACCTCACGTTTCCATTGCATTCGGTTCTCCACCAACGTTTTCACTTGGCTCTGCGTCCTCCCACATGCTTTCATCTCCTCTTCGCATGTACTCCTCCATGTCAGCCTCGTACTGACGGCCAACTGACTCACCACTTCCCATTCAGGTTCTACTCGAGAGCCTGGCGTGGAATGTCATTTGGTGGTATTGAAGCCACTTAATTATATTATGGAATTCAATACCACATAGTCTATGTGGAATGATGTCTTGAAAGTAAAACTAAATGATAAGTATAGTTCTGGTGAATTTTTCATTCTTTTGTAGCTTTCTCACTAAATTTGGCCAGTGAATGTTGGCTATATCGTTTCAATATCTTGTAAATGGTGTCTACAACTGAACAGACAGCCACAAAGGCGTTACATCGTCATCTTGATGGGAATGGAGTCTTTATTTAGTGGAGAAATAAATAAACGCGTGTCTAGGATTGACAATAATACCCTCTCTGCTAAGGCTTAATATCATATCCCGTCAACCGTAGAAACAGTGATAAAGACTGTTGATAACAGGAAACCAGTGAATTTCTGCTGCTGCATCCGAATTGATTAATGCAAGAAGGCTGATTCCATTGGGCTCCAAAAAAGATGAGTTAGCGTTGGCTTCTCAAATTCAAGCTGACTAAGAGTCTCCACAAAGAACAGGTACTTTGGTGAGCTAGAAAAGTCAAAGAGATGAAAAAAAGTATCAACAACCTAGGGTATCTATTAGGGATGCTCACTGTACCCATTTTTGTTTAATGTCATGGACGTACCAATGGATATGACCTTAGCCGACATGTCACCAGTAAACAGTCTTGTGGATTTAAATAATGCTGATGATACTGTACTTATATGTGAGGATGCTAGCAAAGACAGGGTCTTCTGAACACATTGAAAAATAATATGTTAGTCTTACGACTCACCGTCGTTAAATGTAAGATGGTGCTTCAAGACTGTTCCGCATCTACTCTTGGTTTAAGGATAGGGAGTGGGATGGTTGAACGTCTTGGCTATTTCACTCATTTGGTAAATTGCACCAACCCTGATTGATGACAAAATCTCAGCACAGTTGGGAAAGACTAGTATGGGAATATCCTGTTTACATAATCTCTGGCGTATACGAAATATCCTACTGTTGGTCAAAGGACGTTTGCACTGCACAGACTGACGAGCCACTGCCTTCCTCGTCGAGCGATGTTAACTGATATGGGACTCGTTTATAGGAGAGTTAACGGTGATCCAATCAAAACATGACGTCAGTTTATTAATTTTTTGACAACTGGTGTAAGCCACATATATTGGTGGTGTAGATTGCCTGGCTGGAGCTGTCGGAGTGCTAAGATCCAACGACTTGAAGACTATTGATGATATGGCTGAAAACCACTCTCCACTGGATAGATGCGTGCGTAATTTGTTATATATATCTCTCTCAGATCCATTAGATCCTGATTATTCTCCGTGTGATTAGCCTCCTCTCCTCCTCCTCATAAATTTCCTTTCATTAGTATTCCTTCGTACTTTTTTGCTTGCCCCTCTGCCTTAATGCGGTTTTTTCCTTCACGTTCCCCAGTGGAACATAGGGCTTCAAGCTAGTGGCTTGAAGTTTTTGTAGCAGTTTATTTTACAGGATGGCCCGACCGATAGCTTCTACCTTGATATGGTGTTCGGACTTGCACATCGCGATGACCCAACAAGCTACAATGGTTGGAACCAATGTTTCTGCAGCTCCTACCATGCCAAGAAGGTTGTTAGGATAGCGATTAGACTAAAAGCAGTCACCGGCATTGTGTAGGAATCTTTCTTACACTATGCTGGAGGTCTGAGGGCGAAGTCCTACTTCTGGGAAACAGGGGTTTAACAGCAGTGAGGTGTTTCCCTCAGATGACCAGCATGCCAGCTTTGCTGTCTCTCCACTCCGGAGAGAGGGAGTTAGAAAAGGTCAACGCCAAAAATTGTACATCCCGACTTACCCTACGGTGGTCCGTAACCGGCAGTAAGTTCACTAATACGGAACCAATCCAAGAAACCAGTTCACACAGGCCGTTTTTGACCGGCCACAAACAGTTGTCCCCTGGGCTGTGCGGTCACGCAACACTTTCTTTTTTAGGTACCCGAAGAATCAATCAACTTCTATGGTGTGGGCAACCGGGAAGTGACAGCCACCCACACACTTCCAAAAGCACACGAAGCCTTCCTGAGCATCATTCTCGTTACAGGATGGGGTTGCTAGTCTAATGCCTCAACCTTCCCTCTTTACCAGCATTATTTTTTGCTCAGCGAGGTAAAGGAGTGCGTTGGCCGGGGATCGAACCCCGGACCATGTACATGGTCGGCGAACGTCCTAACCGCTATGCCACCGACGCACGCCTTAATGTTTGGGCTCATGAAATGTGGCAGCATGAAGTGCTACTTTTTTGTTTAATGAAATCTTAGCACTTGTGACTATCAGTAGAAGTAGAGATTTGGTCTGTGATACTTAGTAATGTAATGTGGTAATCACCATATATATATATAGTGATTACCACAATCCAGTTGGAAAATAGTTTTTGTTTGTTCGTTTATCTTGGTCACTTGATAAATTTCGTGATTATATGTGTAACCTCTATACAGAAGACTGTTCAGCCTATTCGTGTCAACATTACTGATGGTTTTATTGATGTGTGGAACTTGGGCACTGTGGTTAAGTATATCTCCATTATGGATTTATATTTTATTTTGATTAATCACACAGTGTTGTACAGTATTATTTACTGGTGAGGTTTCGAGCTCGTCCTCGGTGGACCCAATTAAACAAAATAATATAATTTACAAGATACCTTGCAGTGACTGCGAGTGAAGTCAACCAAATAGGTTAGACAAAACTAGTAGGTCGGGAGTAGTGAGATTATCGGAACTTAAGAATTTAGCTAAGAGGTTAGAATGATCGATCCCAAGAAGATAAGTAATTTGGAAAAAACTCATCAATCGCACTGCATGCACTAATGCACAGTCATACAATTCTAAACTATAAAAAGTAAGTAAGGTGAATGGAGAGAGATTGATTATTGGGTCCTGCTTCATCGAGTCTACACCCAACACATGCAATAGAGGTGACTCAATGCGAATACCAGAGATGTGGAAGTTATTATTACCACCAGTCAGACAAATCAGAAGAGGATAAAAGATAATGTTAAAATGTATTGAATTAAATTCACATTATGACATTTTAACAAGTTATTTATTTTCACTTATTGCTTACTGGTTATATTTGTTTGATAACACTCATATTATTATTTCTGAATGTACTTTATCTTATAATGATTTTATTCATATGTTTAATCAATTTTTAGTCATGTATGTAAGTGAAGTTGTGTGAGTAGTGCCTTGATATGATTATGAGCTGCAGTAATAAATTGTGCTCGAAACGTGGTTGTCATCAGTGAATATTGCTTACTGTACAACACTGTGTGATTTATCAAGATAAATTTTATCCATAATGGAATTACTACTCCTTTTGCCTGTCTGTATATATGTTTATTAATGTCCGAATGGTTTGTATTCCTTCAGGTTGATCGAGAATCTTTTCCTTGCGCTTGTGCAGCAACTGGATGCTGTAACCCAAGCGGTCGTAATGAGTTTTCTCGTGAACAAGTTCGTGCACACGCTGAACATGTATTAGCACGTGTAAGTCAAGCTCAAATAAATTTCTGTTTATTTTTATTATTTTGTATCTAAAATTCATATTGGTCTGAGCGAACGTGATCTCCAGATGGAGATTGGATAGCTCCTACAATTCAGATGTATAGTCCATTGATGTTGGGGTGCTCGACTTCCTGTTGCTTTGTCATAGTGTAACGACAGAAGACAAAGGCCAGCTAACAGATCGTTTATTGAGTAAATCAACAGGTATTTACAGATTTTTATGTACATTATCATTAGGGTTATTGTCAACAGAGAAGCAACGCCTTGTGATTGGTTGTTTTCTCGGTGAAGGTTATTCTGTCATCTCTTTGTTGCCGTTTCATAGACATGAAAAAGAGAATACTTTGAGCGAAGAGACTTTTTTCGGCGAATTCATTCACAGATAGCTGTACAATCGCATTTATATATAATTATTTGTGTGTGTGTGTACATGAGGTTTGTCAAGTTTGGATAATTGATCAGGTAATACAAGAATGGTCTAATATAAACACAAGGTTAATTCGACAACAACTAAAGTAAGATTGAGCTAGCTACTAAGTTAGATGACGTAATATAATTGACTAAAATGTTTCAACTTAGGTCAGGGTAGCTAAGCCCTGAACTCTGCATACAGAAGAAGTTCGCTCCATCACTACACTTGCAATGGACTTAATCTGACTTATTAGCCGACAATTAAATTCTACCTAATCCTTTTCTCTTCTGTCTTCATTAATATTATTTTGTCTTTTCAATTGCAATATTTTAGATTTTCAACCTTCTTGTTCTCTAACCTCACCCGATTTAATCTCTACATCTCACTACCACTGTTTCTGACTTGACCAAAGCTCAATTTCTAGTCGTTTATCTTACATCATCCAACTTGTTTGCTCAATTTCTGTTCTAATTTAAGTGGCATTATTATCTACCCCACTTCTACTTGGTCTCTTTCTACCTGTAATTACCTCTGTTGCTACTCTGACCCAAGTTGAAACATTTTAGTCAATTATATTACGTCATCTAACTTACTAGCTAGCTCAATCTTATTTTAGCTGTTGTCGAATTAACCTTGTTTTTATATTAGACCATTCTTGTATTACCTGATCAATTACCTAAACTTGACAAACCTCATGTACACACACAAACACACAAATAATTATATATAAATGCGATTGTACAGCTATCTGTGAATGAATTCGCCATCGAAAAGCGTCTCTCGGTTGAACGTATTCTCTTTTTCATATGACTCAATGGGGATTTCCAAGTTACTCAAACGTTTCTTAGACAGTCCAGTGATAAATCCGCGAATTGTATCCGCCCACGCTAAATCTGCCGTGATTGGTTGTTGAGTTCCCCAAGGTTAAGCTTTGTTTTTGTTTCCTTTCATGATCCCGATTTGGGACGTAAATATTGACGTAAATTGTTGTCTACAATTTTGTCTTGCAGATGGCTCTCACCACAATAGGATAGCTTTCAGTTCCACTCCAACCGAAGTTTGGGTAGTCAGATGTTTGTACAATATGTATGACTTATTGCTAACTGCATGAAATATGCTGGTAACATATCTGTGATAAAAACTTATCATTATTTTTAGGTTAATAAAGATGATCCCAACCTTTCAGTAATTTATTTAAGAGATTAGACATGGTGTCTCACGTTAGGTGGTTTCACAAGATAAGTAATGTTGACGTTAGGCGTAGAGTGTTGGGCAAAGAGGGAAAATCAATCGACGAGGTTATAAAGTTACATAGACTAAGATGGCTAGGTCACGTGCTGCGCATGCCTAACCACCGCCTCCCCAACGGGCATTGTTAGCTGATATAGGTTCAGGTTGGAAAAGAGCCAGTGGTGGCCAAACAAAAACGTGGCATCAATCCATGAAATCCTTGACAGTTAAACTGAGTCAGGTAGGGAGATGCAGACTCCCGGGTTGGGGCCCTCGGGACTCTAGGAATCAATGGCTGGAGACTATAGGTGACATGGCTCAAAATCGTTGTCAATGGCGCAGATGTATTCAATCTCTGTAATCTTTCATATTCCTCTCTACCATTACCCATTCTGTTTCACTCTTATACTTGTCAAACTCTATTGATTCTCTTCACTCATCTTCTTGTCTACCTCTGTGTGCTATTTGGAACGTGGCAACTCGAACTGCTGCACTTCGGTGACAAGTTCTATGTTGAATCTAGACAGACAGATTAGACATGGAATTCTGTCATGCAGTAACAATTTAACAAATGTTGCCCTAAGTGATTTTGTCGTTCACTCACTGTGATATACTAACATGTGGAAAAGATTCGCATGCTGAGCCATCGCCATCCTCGACAGACAAAGTTAGCCAACATAGGGTCAGGCTGGAAAAGAATTAGAGATGGTCAAATCAAAACCTAGAATCAGTCCATGAAATCTTTGACACTTAGTTTAAGTCGTGTCGGGAGATGTAGTAGACTGTCAAGTTAAAGCCCTCAGGATCTTAGGAACCAATGTCTGGATACGACTGGGGATATGGCTGAATATTGTTCTTAGTGGTGTGGATGCATTTATTCCTTGTTGTGCCTGAAACGCTAATGCTTTTCTCTGCTACTATTCTGCTTATGATAGTACTTTAAATCTACTTTTCCTCTCTTTTATCTACTTTGATTGTGCCAACTGAAGTGTGTGTGGCAACTTGAACGGCTATACTTCTGTGCAAAGTTCCATGTTGAAAATCAGTCATCAGTTAGTTATGTTTAGATGTCAATATAAAGGACAGTTTTTTGAATGGGAATATGAGAAGTCGTGAGTTTACTCTGTGTGTGTGTGTCGCATCCCAAATTAAATTGCCACTCATAATTTTGATCTGTCAGTTTGAAAGATGACTGTGGCGTGTGGTTATCCAGAAGAAATATTATGGCAATAACACTTAATCTTGTTGGTGTTAGTTGTTACACTGTGAGGTTTTGCTACTGGACTAGACTGGACTGTTGAACACTTATTACGTGAAGGCTGGCTGATGAGGATACCTCTTAGTTGTCCAGAATTACAATAAGTGGAACATAGTTGAACTCATAACCTATATGCTCCTAGGTAACTCCTACTAGCAGAATCAATGAAATGTATGCCCACTTGTGATCTTTTAAGTCAGAAACATCCGATTTGGGTTGAAGATAATTGGGATAATAAAGAATGCTTAAGCGTTGACTGATGGGATTCTGAATGCTACTGCGGATGAGTTCTACCTCCAGGTGGGTGAGTGACCTTACAAACTGCAAGCTGTCCACAGACTTTAGCTAGTATCTTGAATGCAAATATTGGGTATTCAGAGCTCATCATATGGTCTTCTAAATGGACAGTGGAAACTACTTTGACATAGATGTTACTGGCTGACTGAAATTCAACGTAGAATGTTGCATATAAGTGCAGCAGTTCTACCTACCACAATGAATGAAACACACAAAGGAAGACAAGAAGAAAACAGACTCGAAAGGACTATAATAAGCAGGAATTTGAAGTGGAAGGAATAGTACCATTATAATTATTATTTCTTTGCGTTTCGAGTCGCACATAACGCCTCAACAACACATCTCCAATTTCTTCTATTTGGTGCTGTCCTCTTCAGCTGGGTCCACAATTATCCATAATTTCTCATCTCCTCCAACTGGCACGATCTTCTCCATGTTACTTTCACACACTGACAACCCACTCGTTTCTCATTCGTATTTCACTCAAGCGATGTCCTTCGATAGCGTTCTCAGTGTGCGCCTGATCAATCCATCTCCATTTTCTCCTTCATATTTGTTGAATGGTAGGTTCTCGATTGGTTTGTTCTCATAGTTTCTTATTGTTATTTATCTTTCTCCCCCTCTCTCTCTCTCTGGCCATTTGATCTTAAGTATGGAGCTGGAGAAGGCAGTTGTTGATGAAAGTCTGTAACCTGTTGGATATCCTTTTCTTTTCATTAGACCCAAGACAAATTTTAGACCCATATCGAAAAACTAACTGACTTGACATTGGTGTTGAAAATCTGAATCTTCTTTCTTTATATTGAGTGAGTGGAAGAGATTTCGAAACTGATTTCAGAGTGATGAAGGTGTATCTTGCCCTGACAATCATAGCTGGATTTTATATCATCCGTGCTGTCGCCTGTAGTGTAGTTGAAACGATGCTTCCTAGATAAGTGAAGGAAGTAGTCGCTTTCAATTTTTTTTCCATTGATGGTGATTGATGGTGCTAGCTGTTCAGTTTGGTTGTTTATCTTTATCATCTCCACTTTCTGCATGTTCAACTAGAGTCCTGCCTTCCCTGTCAGTCTCTTCTAATGGTTTGTTGGTTTTCGCCTGCAAGTAGTCTTCGAGTTTGTGTGAGTGACATTTAGCATAAATCGTCCACGCGCGAAATCCAGGTCTTGTAGAATCTTATCATCGGTGGTCCAGCGTATTCCTGTCTCCTCAGTCCCTGTACCCCAGTCTGATGCACGATAGAGTCCACCATAATTAGGAGTATCACGGGTGATAATAAGCAGTGGTCTTGTCTTACTCCCCTAGTCACTTCGAAATAGTTACATAGACAAGCATTAAGGTTTATTGAACATGGGTGACTGTAAAGAGTGAATTCTTCCGCACCATTGTTAATGATTTTGAGCCATATCCCCATTTATATCCAGACATTGGTTCCTAGAATCATGAGGACTTCAACGAGACAGCCTACATCTCCCGACAGGACTTAAAGATTTCATGGACTGATTCCAGGTTTTGATTTGTCCACCTCTAATTCTTTTCAAGCCTAACCTTATGTTGGCTAACTTTGTCTGTCGGGGAACCGCTCCGTCCTCCTTTATAGCTGTGAGCAAGACATGGCCATTGAGAGTGGAAGACATGAAAAGATTGCCTGTCTTTGATCATAGGTGCCTGCGTTCTACCTCCCGTGTGAAGTGGTATAATAAGGTGAGAAATATTGAGGTTAGGCATCAGTCGAGTGCTATATAAGTCAAGAAGGGGAAATCAATCGACGAGGCTGTGAAGCTACAT